CTTGCGATTTCACACGCATCGGATCCGTCTCTCAAGAGTGATTCCAATTCGGCGATCTTGATCTAAATCACGTCTGGACAAGCAGACCTCGCGAGGCGGCGCGGCGGATCAATGAGGCCGTTCTGTCTCTCTCGCTGCCGCGCGAGAGAGAAACACTCTCCTCACGCGCGCACCAGAAGGGACTGGCGTCGCGGCGTGTTAGCGAGGCGAGCCGAGTGCGTCATGCGCGACGCGGTACGGATTGGTAGGGGGCGTGGCCAAGCTGACAGCTGTGTGACGCGTGACGCTATTGGCCGCTGGGCATGGCCACAGCCACCATACCGCCGCGCCATTGGTCGCGTACGCGCCACCAAATGAGCCTCGTTACGAACGTCCGGCACGAGCGATGAGAAAGAGAGAAAGAGAAAAGGATGGAGAAACGGAGAGGGAAGAGAGGGAGAGAGAGAGAGAGAGGGAGAGGACACGCGAGCGAATTGCATCTAGACTGCAGATCCTTCCGAGGAGCTCGTTAAATTCCGGCCTTTTCTGGATGTCTGTTCTCTTAATGACGCACGCACGGCGGGACGACGCAATTTTTACGTCGATGCGTGGCGCGAATGTTATCCGCATGTAAATCTCGAAATCACGCACAGGTATACGTATAGAACAGTTCCTCGTCAATCATTTACTTTTTTGTCGGACAGTCTCGAACGGATTGTAAAAAGGACGCCAAAAATGTATATATGTAGAACGAAGGAAGGATGAGAAAGCACATATTGCTGTTATCGCTACAGATTAACGTTTCTGCTTTCGTATCGGTTAATACTAGAGATTATTATTACAGATTTATTATAGAGCTGAGTCTCTCTCTCTCTCTCTCTCATACACATATACGTACATTAAACGCGATTAACTGACGAAATGTATTGTAGTAATATATCGTATATAAAAAGAACGATTTTGCTAAAGTGCTAGTTAAAAAATTTAACTTAGATACACACACAGATGTGAATTAAAATTAATTTATTGGATCATCATAATTGAATCATCAAAATAATTATGTATTAGAATGTTGATTGCCAGAAAAAAACTTCTTACAGTACAATTGCATGTTATACTTGAATGTGTCTATAACATAATTATTTTGATAATCCAACAAAATTATTTTCAGGTACTTAACTAAATTTTAAAGTATTTCAGCATCGTTCTTTTCGTGTAGACGAGCGACTTAGAGTAAAGCAGATTACGAAATCTGTTGCAGCATTGTGAAAAGTCTGTCAAGTTCAAAATTCGAATTCGTCATTTAGCGAATTTATTTATACGTATCGCTCGCGAGAAATTCGTAAATAGAGGCGGGATGTGTACAAAAAAAAATCGATTTTACTAAAGTATTAAAAAATTTACATAGATTAATTAGATCGATACAGGTCTGAAAATAATTTTGTTGGATCATCAAAATATATGTATAATACTATGTAGAGAATTCAAGCATGATGAGCAATGTTACAAAAAATTTTGACATTTTAGCAATCAGTTTGAACATCCTACGTAATTATTTTGATAGCCCAACAAAATTTATTTTCAAATCTGTATCAAGTTGAATTTTTAATACTTCAGCGAAACCGTTTTTTTCGCGCGACAACACATTTGCGACGCTATCATGATGTCAGAGGCATTCTGATACGAGGGGGTAACCACTAGCTGAAACATTGTCCCACAGATTACATGATTTCATCTGATTACAAATAATTTTTTCCATTACATATGAAATAATTTGGTAAAATATACGATTTTATTTAATATTATACAATGATTTCTCATGATTGCATATATAATTATCGAATTATGCATAGGATTTCATATGAACTTTATAATGATTTCAAAGACTTTGTCCCACGATTACATTAAGTGGTTACCCCCTCGTTCTGATAGCATGAATCGAACAAGCTATAATATGAATCAAAATGCTGTAGCATTATATTTTATTTATGATGGAAGTAAATTACGAGGAAAAGCGACGCGTAGGAAAATAAATGAAGGAAGCACTAAAGATCTCGTTTAGTAGACGACTTATTAGCGGTGCTCATGGGGGTGGGAAAGAATAGGCGAAGAGGGTGAAAGGGAGGGACGCGCGAGTGGCAGCAACGGCTTATCCTTCCCGAGGAAAAAATCGATTTATAGTACTCGCGGGGTTTATGAACGCCCCCGCGGAAGAAAGGTAATGTCGCTTAGAAGCTACTTACAACAGAAGTTGGATAAAGTTTCACGGACAGAGCGTTCGCTCGTGTTTTTGCGTTACTTAAGGCACCGCGGCTAGAATAACACACGTCGCACACGGTCCGCTGTTACAGCGAAATCGCCGACACAACGTCCGATGGAAGAAAGCAATGATGGCGAAGTCAGTGACACACTACGTCGTTACGTACTGTTTGCAATGCCTTTTGAGAAAAAACCGAAGGAAACACTGAATACAAGATAGACTACTAAGTTTTAAATTTTCTAAAAAAAATAAGCTTGCTTGCAAAAACAAACAACTGGAATTGGGATCGAAGTAATCTTCACTTTCTACACTATTTTCTTAACTAATTAACATTAGAATAAATATTTTATATTCCCTTTGCACCGATTTTCATTAATCTCTTATAGAGACAAATTAGTTATGACATCATGAATTATAAAAATAAATTAAAAACATAAAAAGTAAAATAAAAACAATGGCAGAGAAATTAATATTCGCAGTCGCTAACATAGTAAGTAGTACATCTTTTTATAAAATGTAGTTGATTATCGCGTTAACGTAATAATACATCTTTTGAAAATCTTTGACTGGATGCTGACGTATAGTAATACGTCTTTTTAATTTTAAATTTAAATTAATCAAAATAAGTTTCATTTAAATAGAATTGTAGCTATACTTTTGATAAAAAATAAAATGAATTTGTTTTCAAAATATATTTTAGCATAGAATATAAAAAATTAAAATAAATCGTCATTTGTGTTTTTAAAGTGTTTTAAGTAATATAATGAAAAAATGTACTTTATTTACAAATCTTGCAGAATTTCTTTATGCAAAAGTGACTATTTTTAAAAGTATCATACAAAAAAAAATATGAAATTATATTTTTATGTAAAAGTATAAATCTTTTCTTACACTTACATTATACAAAAGTGTTTAATTAATTTCATTTTTATGTAAAAATTATATATTTAATTAATTTTTTCAAAAATATGGTAAAAATAAATTTAAAAATTTACATTTTTTAATTTTAACATTTTTCATATTTACTTATAAATTGACATTTTCTCTGTTTGAATTTGACAGATAAATTTCTTTCAATTTCAAACAATATAATTGCAAACATGATATTACAAATTTTACAAAAAACAAATTTTACAATTTTTATTCTCATTTTAATGATAAAATTCTAATCAATCAACTATAAATTTAAATTTATTGTATTGAGCTTCCAGTTTTAGAAAGATAAAATAATTACCCACCCGTGAAGTTGACAAGATAAATATTTTCTGTGCATGGTGTGGAACTACAACCTGTCTACAATGGAATTTTTTGAAATCTCTCAGTAGCTTTCTATTGTAACTGTAAAGTAAATATATAAAGCTGAGCTGTGAAGTAACAAGATTGCTACAGAAAATAAATTAAAAAATTCCCTGACTTTTTAAAGTCTATATTATTAAAAACAACACAAAAAAAATTTGGTAGCATAGTAAAATTTTGGGTGCAAATTCAAACCAGCAAAAAATTAATTAGTTTTGGAAAAAAGAATGTAATTATGACGAAAAAGAGGGATCAAATAAAAGTACTGAATAAAATATAAATTTTAATTATTTTATTAAAATCGTTTAAAGTGCGCAAGTTTTGAACGTATTTGACTATAAAAACGTCAGATATAATATTTAAAAAATTATAACAATTATTTGGAATAAGAGCAGTTTAAGAAAATTGTGAGTAAATTTCGAAATTCCAGACTGTTTTATATTTTCCCCACGATTTTTTCCGGTTTTCTATGATCAATTTCAATTTCCCTGACTTTTCCTGATTTTCCAGATCTGTGGAAAGTGTACCTGTACCCTGAGTAAATAAAGTAAATAAAATATGTTTTTTTTACTAAACCTACGTATGTTTATTACAATATAAAAACTACAAACAGGAAAACATTGCAATACATTGTTTTTCTGAATATTTTTCTCAATATTGCTTTAAGAAAATATGCCTAAAATAATGCGTATAAACCCTACATGAGAGAAGGGTGCCATTTGGTTTGCTTGCTCTTCTTGCGAGGGAACTGACATGGGACTGATGTTCTTCATCTGGTTCAGGAACATTTGAACCCTTCCGCCCTTTCTGTCCTTTCTGCCCCTTGTATCTTTACTCTAGTTTGAAAACGCAATATTGGAACTTGAAAAAAGGATGAATATGAGAGTAGATAACTTTCTGTTTTATATAACTTGTGTTCACCAATTCTGATATTTCGCTTTGCAGTTGCATTATGAGTTGTATTACGAAGATGCATTGACCTGTTCCTTACATTCGTCTCTTTCTTTGTGTAACAATATCTTAAACGCATAGCTGACAGTAAAAATATAGAAGGAGATCTAGCTGTGTATGTGATTGTAATTGAATAAATCGCGTAATGCAAAATTTCACTTCCATCGTGATGTACCGACGGCGATGTAGTGCCGACGGATACAGTATAACTTTAAATGAATGACTATCAAGCGACTATAATCTTTCTAGTTATATCTAATCTTCTCCGCGTGCGCGCGTATATATGTGTTAATACTGTTAATATAAAAGATTCGAAACAAAGTTATAATTGCTTAAGATCTAAAAAAAAAATCTTCTGTTAATCCATTTTTATTAATATATTATAGATTAACCTTTAAAGAACAGGGTCCATTTTTAAATTTTACAGTTTTTTCTTAATATTTAGTTGTTTCGCTATTTTCATTGTATTTCTTGCTTCAAAATATAATGTTTTAGTACCACACTACAACGACTTTCCCGTCCTATAAAAATGCTAACTTCAATTTACTTTTTATTTTCTTCTAATTCTGAAAATTCTGAAAAGATAAAAATTAAGTTAAATCGAGATTAATGTTAATTCACAATGGTATATAGAAATGAACATTAGAAGGCAATTAACAAAACTTTTACGTTATAATCTACAATATTTGTTAAAAGCCTGTTTCATCGTGTAACTCGCGTAATTGAACAACATCGCGCATTAATAATAGATGTTGTCCGTTACGGGACTTCCTTCCTTCAAGGAGCGAACAATTGATCCTCGAGGAAAGAAACCCCGGCGTCATGAGGACGGAATTGATACATTTTATTCGAGTTGTATACGCCTCCCTGCCACCCGTCGCGACGCCATTCATTCTCGATACACGGATGCCAGCGGTTTGTGGTCCACGATGAAGTCGTTGACACCATAATGTGACGTTCAAGAAACCCTCCTGATTCGTTCTAAAGAGCCGCGATCGTTCGATCTTGCTGATGGGACAATAAGTTGCACCGATTCGCATTCGTCGTGATATCCTTACCGTCACTTTACTTCGCATATCTGATCGAGTATGATACAGACAATTTTGCTAAAATGAATGAAATTGAGATAGCGAAGATCGAAAAGTGTAAAGGAAACTTTAGATTTTTTTTTAATTTAATGGTATGATATTATTAGTCACAACTTGAGATATCGGAAGGAGGCTAATAATACAACATTATTATATTTATTTAAAAAACATGAAAACATCATGTAACTTTGATACATGCGTTTTTCTTCACTTATTTAAACTTAAAATAGTTTATGTCTTATGTCCTCATCACAAAAACGTCAAGTCAGTGCAGGTATAGTTCTAATTAAGAAATAATTGAAGTGTAGGTTTCTATTTATTCATCACTATAATCTCAGAATGTGACGTCAAAAGCAAGAAAACATGTTTGGTCAAAAGTAATAAAAATGTTTGCAAACTACGTTTGAATAGAAATATTTTTCAATAAATAATTATAATACGAAATTGGATCGATGAAAAGAAATTTTTAAATGAGAATAAATTTTTTAATAAAACTGCATTTGCAATTGATAGAAAAGACTTTTTATTATTATATTTTATTAAAAATAATTTGGAAACCAATATCTTTTTATATTAGGCAATAAAAATTAAATCATATTTATTTCAATATATTATTAATTTGATTTGTTTGTCATAGCTGTCTGTATTTATTTCGTTTTTTGCTAAACATCATTTTTAAATATATATATTTGGTTATTTATCAATTAATGAAAGAAAAGTTTTTAATATATTTTACAAGTCGTTTTATCGATAAAACCTTTTTGTAAGTTTTATCGATCATAAGTGTTGTTTTATTGAAACATATATAAATATATATATTTCCATATTATTATAATATATTTTGCAAGAATTTTTATCGTACACCTCCTCGTTTCTGACGCCATAATTTGAGACAGTATAGTAATGAATAAACAGGAGCTTGAAATGATGGCAGTGAGTTCAAATTATGTCAATAATCTCTAATTAATTTCTTGTTAAAGAGATATAACAAATATAGAATAATTGCACAAATCTAATGATTATATTATCTTGCTGGACCAATTTAAAGGACTCGAAACTGACACTTCGCGTGATCGTTATAGCATAACATAACGATTTTGATCCGTGCTTATTACATACTCTCAATCATCATTTCAGCATTCTCACTTTCCTTGTCCTCTCCGGAGCGTGTACATGGCACGGCAGCGCGCATTGACATTGATTCCCTTTGTCAGAGTGCACGAGGGTGACGCGGACGCGAGAAGGACGGTTGCGTAACAATGCGAAAACGCAAGAGAGCATCCGACGAAAAGCTCGTATCGCATTCCCATAAGTGGCGGAGGGAATCCCGCAGAGACGTCCTCACGTTCTCTATCCCACGTCCCGCGTTTCAACCCCCGTC